TCGACGGCGCCGCCGGCCCGCCCCCACACGGGCCCTGCCAGACGTGGCATCCCCGCGCCGCGGGCCAGGAGCCACGTTAGCGGCCGCAGCGCTACTTTCGCGCCTCCGCTACCACGCATCATGGCCGCTCCTGACACCCTGGCGTGCCTCCAAGCGCCAATGGGCCCAGGACCCCGACCACTCTCAGAGTCGGGTTCGGGACCTCGCCAGCGACCCGGACCCGGACTGGATCCGGGACGTCTCGGGGCCTTCCCAGACGGAGCCATCTGGATCCTGGAGAAAGGCCATAGCGGCCAACTCCACCTGGTTCCCGTCGCCGCCTGGCGCGTTCAAGACGACGTTCACCCCGACTCGGTTCTGCCCCACACCACGACAGCGAAATAATCCCCCCCTAGCCGAGCAACAATGGAACATCTGCCCTAGTTCGCGGCGCCAGGCCAGCGGCACCGGCCCCACCGCACACCGCGTCGACACCTCCACCAACCCCGGCGACGCCAGCTGGTACCTGCGGCTCCCCGCGGACCACAGCTCATCTGATGGTACCACGACCGAGGCCCCGCGGCTACGCTCATCTGCTCTGCCCTGGAGGCCCCCGAGGCACACGGAGCCGCGGACCAGCGGGCACGCCAATACGCCTACAATGGCACCAAGTACCATGGCAGGCTTGTTCACCCAAAAGTCCACACCATCCTCACGCGGTGGCACCAAGCGGGCACCACGCCGCAAACGTCCACGATCCGTCACCCTCGACAGGTCCTTCCGAATGGGCGACGTCACTCTTGCCCACCTCCTAGCGGGGGCAGCCGACGCCACCGCCCTCGCGCGCGCGGAGGACATGGACAATGACCACTTCCGCAGCTCCAAGGCTGCGCGCACCAAAACAACCGGCCCCGCCTGGTGCCCCGCCGCCGCCCGAGGTACTCTGCTGCCCCATGGCCGCGCACGCCTGGCTCGAAGAAGCGCTGCAGTTCGACGACCTCCCACCGGCCCCCGACCGCCGGGGCCCCGAGCCCGCCTCACCACTGCCCTGACCGGACATCGCCACAGCCGCTGCTGCAGCTCAGGCTGACAGCACAGCCGACAGCAGTGACCCAGTCCCACCTCCGCGCCGCAGGCAGCGTGACTCGTCGGCTCACAGCCCCAAAGGAGATTCCGCCCGCTCCCCAGCGACTCGTGGCTCCGCGGCGCGCGCTGGCCCTGCCGGTGCCGCCCGGGCCTGCCCGCCTACGCATCACATCGCTGGCTCAAACAGCGAAGCCAGTGCGGATGCCTTGGCGGACGCCGCAGGCGACTCCGACGGGGCGGAGCTAAGTGCTGCTACGACTTTGTCGCCGCGCAGGCTTACCTGGTCACGCGCTGGTCCATCCGCCTGGACCGACCATGCGCTGCGGCCCCCAGCTGGCCAGCCTTCCTTGACCCCACCGACACGGTCGACCGCAGCCATGTCCCCAGAGTCACGGACCTTGTCCCACGCAGTGACCTGGACGGACACCACATCCCGCCGGGCGCCGTGGTCCGGGGACAGCGAGCCACGACGCTAGACGGCCAAGTGTTTGACTGGATCTGCTTCCGCCCCAGCGACTGTTGCTGCTATGCCCCGCCCATCGGTGAAGTTGCGGCACCTCGCAACTACTGTCTCTGGCGCGCAAGGGCACAGCAGCTACTCGAGCACGGGGTTGACGCCCCCGCAGACAACGAGGCCAAGTGCCCGGGCCCAACCTGCCAGGGCACGCTCGAGTACCAGAACGAGGGTAGCCCCGCTACGCCGCCCGGCTGGGTCTGCGCTCAAGGCCAACAGGCCGACGACCTGGCGCGTGGACTCACGCACCACACTGCGGAACGCCACGCCCTCGACGCCTCTTACCACGGGGGCATCCCACCGCGCACGTTCGCCCACACTATCCGCACGACCCTGGGGCCCAAAGACGCCGAGCACCATGAGCCCTGGGACCGTCGCCAGCGCCCCCGCGCTGGCATCTGCAGCCGCGACCGCTGTCATCTTGAGCCGCCTGGGGCCCCAGGGCGCAGCCTCGTCAACTACTGGGGCACGGTCACGTTCGACCCGCACGCCCGTATACAGAGCGCTGCCGCCTTTCTCTCTGGCAACTCGCACTTCGGGCGAGCCTACCGCTTCACCACGGCGGCGCTCGACCACACCACTCCAGTGCAGTACATCATGCAGTTGATCACCAAAGATAAGATGGGGGATGCCATCCACTGGTCCCAAGCCGTCATTTTCTGGCGGGGTAGGCCCATCGATCCAGAGGCCCGCGTCCTTGACGTGCTCACAGGCGGCGAACCGTCGGCCGGTTCGGTGCTCTTCTGGGGCCCCATCCCAGAGCAGCGCGTCAGCCGCCAAATTGTTGAGGTCCGCCGCGCAGCCGCCACCCCTCAACATCCCAGCGCCACGAACAGCTTAGCTCGTTTCCACCGCTGGACCGCATTACCCGCCGGACACCACGGCTGACAATAATGTCCTCACCGACCGCGCCGCAGAAGAGCTTGCCACGGGCCGCTATTGGCCACCGAGCGACCACTCGTCCAGGCCCAAGAGCCCCGGCTCGCCGAGCCGGTCGAGCCCTCGACCAGCGCGCTCTCTGGCGACGATCACTCGGACGGACACCCCTGCGACCAGGAGCGCCGAGGCCTCCTCCGAATGTCCTCGAGCTCAAGCCTTCCGCGAGCGGTCACCGCCACCGCGGTCTCGGCCACCACTAGGCACAGCACTCTCGGCCGTCCGCGAACCCGCCGCCGACCAGAGCGACGACACGCCGACCAACCGTCGGTCGGCCACGACCGACGCCCACACGGCCGGCTCAGCCGCTGCCCCAGGCCCGTCGCCTGCAGGGCGTCCGCTGAACCGCCGCGCCCAGCGGGTGCGGCCTCACCGGCTCGGCAGAGCTCCCCACGCGGCTCTCCTGCGGCAGCTGCCGCCGCTGCGCCCGCTGCGCCGTGGCCCTCAGCGGACGATCCTAAGCGGCGGCGCGGGCTGCCGCCACAGCGGCACGCCGCGCAGCCGGCCCCAGTGCAGACCACGGCATCCGTGACGGCGTCGCCAACTGCTCGAGGGCCGCCCGACTCCTCCGCCCAGCCGGCAGGCTCAGCCTCTTCCGGCCCCGAGAAGCCAACAGGCCCCGCCCAGGTCCCTACCGGACCACCGAGCGCCGCTCAGGGCCGAGCACCGCCCCCAGGCCTCGCCAAGGCCTCGGACCCCCCCCACAAGCCTCGCCGAAGGCCCACGCGGAGGCTCCTGGTGCCGCCAACACCGCGGCTCGGCCAGTCGGTCCCCCAAACACGGCGACCGCAGCCACGGCACCGGCCGCGGGCCGCCCCCCGGCCAAACCGGCCCCGCCTGACCACCACGGCATGGCCCCCGTAGCGGGCAAGGCGGCGCCTCAGGCGACCGCGGCCGCAGCTGCAGCCACCCAGGCCCCCCAGGCTGGGCTCGCCGCAGGCGCGCCCCCGATAAAGGCGCTCCTTCTGCGCGCAAGGCGCCTCCCCTAGGCATCGGGCCACCGCCCCGCCGGCAGGACAGCGCCGTGCCAGTCTAGCCACCCCCGCCCACACCGCCGGCCGCTGAGTCACGCGATAGTGCCCCTACCAGCAGTACACCGCCTGCCAAACCCCTCGTTCCGCCGACGAGTGCTAATACGACCGCCGCCCTTGCACGCGCGCCTCAGGCGACGGCGACCCACCTAGGTGTTGCGGCGGTGCCCCAGCACGCCCCCGTGCAGGCGACCACACTGGCGAAGGCTGCGGCTATGGGAGGCACCAGCTCGGCAACTCCCACACCCATGGCTACCGTGCCCCTGCAGGCCTCCGCACCAGTGCCTGCCTCCACCAAGCCAGTGCACGACGGCGGCCGCGGCCAGTCCTCAAACCTGGCCCGCTCAGCGTGCCAGGATCAGGGCCCGGCACCCCACTGTGGCACCTCGCCCCGTACCAGCGGCGAGCCTCCCTCCACCACGGAGGGAGCGCCTCTCGCGGTGCCTACTCCGGCCGCCGGCACCGTGCCGCCACACATGGCACCCTCCTTTGCTGACACTGGACTCGGCGTAACACGCGCCTCGGCCACCCAGCCGCCACGCAATAACCTACAAGCTGCTGGTGCGCCCCCTGCCGTGGTGCGCGCTATGTGGCAAGACGCTGCAAACGCTGTCGACGCCCTGGCTCAGCCGCGCGGCTCAGCGGCACCGAGCGCACCACCTCCCTCGGTGGCGGCTTCGGCCCGCCCAGCAGAGCTTGCCTACGTGAACGACCTCAAGGCCGAGGACGTCGACTACACGAGCCCTGAGGACAAGAGCGGCCGCCGCCGCGCACGCCGCCGCGCCGCCGCTGGCTGCCGCTGTTATTTTTGCTGTTCTCCCCTCTTCCTCCTCGCTTACCTCCCTCGAGTCGCTCAAGCCCTGTTGGCGGCTAGCTCAGCTAAACCTGCCACGGGGCCTCACGCCAAGTTACACGTTCGGTCTGGGCGCGTTCTGGGTTGGGGGACCCCCACCAGCGAGCAGATTGCAGATGCAGGCCACGGGGCAAAGCAGCGTGCTCAGGATACATGTTCAGAGCAGAGCGCGTAAGAATGGCAGCAGAGATGGCAACGAGGCTGGACACGGATGGCCCTCCCCAACGGTGGATGTTGAACCAGCTGGCGCGAGACAAAGAGCAATGAGGGATGTGGAACAAAGCGGCGAGAGTGGGGTGCTCAAGACGGGCGAGAGACGCAGGAATGGCAGGACACGTAGCGGGAAGGATACATAATTGACCAACATACAAGAGGACGGACACCACTCCTCCTCCTCCTCCTCCTCCTCTTCCTCCTCCTCCTCCTCCTCCTCCTCCTCCTCTTCCTCCTCCTCCTCCTCCTCCTCCTCCTCCTCCCCTTGCTTTCCTCCTCCTCCTCCTCCTCCTACACCTAATGTGTGATCCTCCTCCTCTGACTCCCGATACTCATCCGTCACCTGCACACTCCAGAATGAAGCTAGGTGTGTCAAGGATCAAATGGCTTCCTGGATAACGGGCAGCCTTGGCGTAGACACGGTGGTTCGCGTACCCGTCGAAGACAACACGACCACCATTAGCCTCGATGCGTTTACGCTCGTCCTGCGTAAGAGAGACAGATTACAACAAGATGTACTGCACAGCTGATGAGGGAGGGAGAGAATGACAAGGAGGGAGAGCACCAGCAGCAAGCAACATTCTGGGTATTCGCATTGGTAGATTTGTGCATCCCCGATGTGCAACCATCGGGCACCAGCCATGGGCACTGCCCACGACTTACACACCCCCAGCTGCAAGCACTGTCGGAAAACATCGAGTTTCGACTGACGTCAGGGGGTGTTGTTTCCTCGAGTAATCGAGAAGGCTCGAGCGAGTGCCACCAAAATCAGCGTAGGCATAAACAATTCTTGAACCAAGGTTCAAAGACCACTCGACCATACGCCCGGAGCTGCATGCCAGAAGAGCCGAGAATTAATAGCCGAAAGCTGGAACCAGCTGCCGTCCCAGACCCCAACTGATCGGCCAAACGCAATAAAGTGTACTGAGAAGGAGATGGGATCTGCCACCTCGCATGGAGCGGTTGTGGTGTCAGGGCCTTTGCTTTTCCGTTGGTTTCGTTTCGTGCGGATCTATACTCAAGACCCCCCGACACATCGAGCGCAACATGCGCCCATCTTGTCGGAACCAATCCCTGCACCCCTCTCGTCCAGCAGATGAGGCGCTCCAACATCACAAGTCCGGAAAGGACGCTCAATGGAACCTACCCCGTGAGCCATCCAGCCATCACCCAGCCACTACCCCTCCTAGGGGCCAGGCAGAGCTCGGCTGCGGGTTCTCGCTGCATCGCAGCTGGACGTTCACTACACATGCGAAAACAAGTAGCCATCACCAACGCGAATGTCCACCATATACTGTATCTCTCGAAGCAAACAAACAGCTGACGCCATTCAGGCCCGGGAGGGAGGGTGGGGGGGCTGACGCCATTCAGGCCCGGAGGGAGAAGGGGGGGGAGGCTTCGCTCTGTCGGGGGTGGTGGGGGGGGGGGGGGCTGACCATGGGAAGGGAGGGGGGGGAGGGGGGGTACGCCATGGCTGACGCCATTCAGGCCCAGGAGGAGGAAGTCGGGGTGAGGGGGGGGAGGGAGCTGACGCCATGGCTGACGCCTTTTAGGCCCAGGAGGGGGATCTGGAGGGGGGAGGGGGGAGGGGGGGGGGACGCCATGGCTGACGCCATTCAGGCCCGCGAGGGAGGAGTCGGGGAGAGGGGGGGGGAGCTGACGCCATGGCTGACGCCATTCAGGCCCGGGAGGGGGGAGGGACGGGGGAGCTCGCTCAAGCTTCACTCTGTCGGGGGGGGCTGACGCCATGACTGACACCATTCAGGCTCGGGAGAGGAGAGGGGGGGGAGGGCCGACGCCATGGCTGACGCCATTCAGGGCTCTGGACGGGGGAGCCGGGGGGGGGGCGGGGACTGACGCCATGGCTGACGCCATTCAGGCCCGGCAGGTGGGAGGGGACATCCCATGAGCTTGGCTGTTCACGCGAGATCGTCACTTTCGAATATCCGAAGGTTGCCCAAGCGAGTTCAACATCTCTATCGTATGAAGGTGTCTCGAGCGAGCGTTCTACTCTTAGAATCAAAAAGTCATCCGTTGCAAGCAGAATCGGTAGCACCCCGTACCGGCGGCACTGGCCGGAGACCACTACAATACTGTATCTCTCGAAGCAAACAAACAACAGACTGGTCCAGAAGGGCGAGCCGCCTCGTAAGAGGCGGCACCCCAACAGCCCACTGCTGGCCCCTGGGCACCGCCCCAGCAGCATAGGCCCTGGGCCCTGCCCAATAGGCCCCCCGGCCGCGGGACAGGCAACGCCCTCCCAACTAGGAGTCTAAGTTGGAAGGCTGTTGCCTTCCAAGACGCTGACTCAGACGCAGACTCAGACGCAGACTCTGACTCAGACTCAGGCTCAGTCCCAGTCTCGGTCCAGGTTGGAAGGGCGTTGTCTGCGAGCTCAGACTGGGGCAACGCCGTCCCGACTCGGACTCGAACTCCGTCTCGCCTGAGCCCCCGAAGAAGGGACAGCGGCGCGCTGCCGCGACGAGGGCAAGCCCGCTCGGAGCGACCCAAGACAAGAGGAACCTTGGACGGTCGCATGCGATGCGACAGCAGCGGCATGCATGCGTGAGCCCCCCCCCCGCCGCGACCACTCCAGCCGTGCTTGGCCTGTTGTGCCCTCTTGGTCCGACCGCCCCTGGCCGTCCAGACGGGGGGGGAAAGGTGGGGCGGCCCGCTCCGGCAGGTTCGGCTTGTGGTCGCGCGTGATGTTGATGCCTCTCCCCGGCGCGCGGGCGAGGCCACGTCGACGGACGACGCCGCGCACGCCCCCCGACTTCGCGCGTCTTCGAAGAAAGCCGCGCCTTTCTCCGCTCTCGGCCCCGGAGGGGCCGCTCCTGGGCTGAGAACTAGGCGGGCCGAGAACGCGGGATCCTGGCGAAGAGGTCGAGGCTTCTGGGGCCCGCGGACTGAAGCCAATCCGTCGGAGGTCTGAGGGAGGCGGCACACACAGGGCCCCGTCACGACGCTGCACCGACCACGCTGCCCGAAACCGTCGACCCAAGCCTCGACGGCCAGCTGTTCGTCCCCGAAGCTCAGCTGCCCCGCCGCGGTGGCACACTGCCCGCTCTCCCTGCCGCCGCCCGCCGCCCAGGTTCTTGAAGCCCCGACCGGCGCGGCTGCGCGAGAGGCTGCTGCCACCACCCCTTCATCACCCTTTCCCGGAGGAGGAGGAGGTGAGGAAGCCATTTGATCCTCGACACACCTAGCTTCATTCTCGAGTGTGCAGGTGACGGATGAGTATCGGGAGTCAGAGTAGGAGGATCACACATTAGTGGAGGAGGAGGAGGAGGAGGAGGAGAAGGAGGAGGAGCAGAGGAGGAGGGAGGAGGGGGAGGAGGAGGGGGAGGAGGACGAGGAGGAGAAGGAGGAGGGGGCACCCACACCCCTCCACTCCTCCTATCCGCCCATGCCTCACTCCCCCGCTCCACCTCCCTCCCCTTCACCTGCCCTTCCCGACTCTCCTGATCCCCCCTCGCCCTTCCCCCTCTCCCTCCCTCCCTCTCTGCAACTGCTCATCATGAGTACTGTTAGGTCGGGCGTGTCCCCCTACAGGGGGGCTTTCGAGGAAAAAAATATAGTATTCAAAACATACTCCAAAATGGTCAAAAAGAATTCAAAACATAGTCCCCCGACTATTTTGACTATTCTTGAATTCTCCCCCTGTAGAGGGACAGGCCCGACTTAAGAGTACTGCTCTCTCCTCTCTCCCCGCACACTGTGCGAGCGGGGCACCGCCTCCCTCGCACACCTGTTACACAAGATGTCAAAAGCTGCTGCTTCTGTGCCTCCTCCCTCGGAACTGTTTGGCGCTTCAGTGGTGTTCCCGCTGTACCGTTGGCCCCATTTCAGGATCGGCGCTCTCGCCCCAGCGCGGGCCACATTTCTGGATCTGCTCGTCGCTGTCACCCCCCTTCTTTCCCCTCCTCCACATTCCCCTGGTCCTCCTGGTCCTTCCGCTCCTCCTACTGCTGTTCCTCTTCCTTCCTCATCATTGTACCCTTCCTCCTGCTCATGATCCTGCTCCACTGCCGCCACTTCCTGGTCCAATGTGCACAGCTCCCTTGTCTGATCACGCATCACACGATATGCTCATGTGGGGGATCCAGTTCCGCTGGGACGCCCGTCGGGGGATCGAGAAAAAGTCAGCGCATGGGGAAAGGATGGGTGGGAGGGCTAGGGTCTGATATATGGCGCGCGCACCCAGCGTGGCTCCACTTCTCTCCCTTCGCCTGTCCTCCCCACCTGTCCTCCTGCCGCCTCCCCCCGCCCTCCCTGGTCCTCCCTCCTCCCATGGCCTCCCGCCCATGCCCCTCCGCAAATACCTGGAACACCCGAAAACCGCAGCAGCACTTGCCCGAAGCCGCCCCGTCAGCTCCGAAGACATCCGAGAGCCGCTCGACCTGCGAAGGACCCGAATACAAGAGGAAACCCTCCCCCTCTCCTGGCCTCTTTGGCGGTGCGCAGGGGGGGGCAGGGGGAGGGGGGAAGGCTTCTTGGAAGGAGGCTGCTTCTTAGAAGGCGCCAGCCTTACATCTATAGAAAAGGATCGCACCCTCTAAGAAGCAGGGGTGCTTCTAAGAAGCCTTCCCCCCTCCCCCTGCTCCCCCTCTGCGCGTGGCCGACCTCTGGAGGGTCCTGGAAGTCCCTGCGGATCCCTGGAGGCGTGCAGAGGCCTCCCGGTGTCCAGCAGCAGCCGAAGACACTGAGAGCACTCCGTCCTCGCCACCTCCTCCTCCTTCTCCTCCTCCTCCTCCTCCTCCTCCTCCTCCTCGCCCTCCTCCTCCTTCCTCCTCCTCCTCCTTCTCCTCCACCTCCTCCTCCTCCTCGCCCTCCTCCTCCTCCTCGCCCTCCTCCTCCTCCTCGCCACACTGTGAGCTGCCTCTCCAGAAAGCGCGGGCTGCCGCGATGTGGCCGGCGGCGGGGCAGGCCTTTGCTGCCCTTGCTGAGCACGGCGCTGCTGTCCGCCACGTGCGCCACGGTGACCTGTCACGGGCCAGAGGGGAAGAGGGAGGGGGGAGGAGGATCCATTTCCTCCTCCTCCTCCTCCTCCTCCTCCTCCTCCTCCTCCTCCTCCTCCTCCTCCTCATCATCATCATCATCATCATCATCATCATCATCATCATCATCATCATCAGAAGGCGGGCCCAGGCGGCCAGGTCGAGCAAGTGGGTTGCTGAATCGCCCTGCATGAATCGCGAGGAAGGCCCGAGCGATAGCGCGATTCCCAAAGAAATCTTCAGGAAATCCATAGCGAGAGCGTGAGTCCTGAGTGTCGAGGGCGCGGCGCGAGAGCGCGATGCCTGCTTACATTGTGAAGTCCCACGCCTGAGCGCGACTTGGAAACAAATTGTGGGGAACTACAGTATCAGGCGGGAGCCGTTGTTGTTGCAACTCGGGTGCCCAAGGGCCAGTTTGGTGTCCCCTCGCTCTCCCTTGCAAAAAACACCATGTGCCCTTCAGGGGGGATCAACAATAATTGTTGTAGACATGAGGAGTCATATGTACGTATGCAAACGATAGCATTCATATGTATGAGACATGGGATATGTGTTGAAAACGATATACATATATATATATATAAATATAAAAAAAAAAAAAAAAAAAAAAAAAAAAAAAAAAAAAAAAAAAAAAAAAAAAAAAAAAAAAAAAAAAAAAAAAAAAAAAAAAAAAAAAAAAACGTATGTATGTACGTATGGATGGATGGATGGATGGATGGATGTACGTATGTATGTAGATGTGTATATATGTGTGTGTATATATATACATACATATATACATATATATATATATATATATATATATATATATATATATGCGTGTACGTATGTATGTATGTATGATGTATAGGCATCTCCTTCGGCGGAGCCCCCTTGTAGGGCCGCGAAACGCTGTACCGGACGGGGTAGACGCGCGCGGGTTGCGACACTGGGACCTTCGGTGGAGATCCCCATGGGGCAACGGAACGCTGTACTGGGTGCGGGAGACGCATGCGGCCTGCGCCCCTGGGACCGTCGGTGGAGCTCCCACGGGGGCCACGAGTCGCTGCACTGGGTGCGGGGGAACGCATGCGGTCTGCGACACTGGGGCCTTGGGCCACGAAACGCTGTACTGGATGTGGGATACGCAGGCGGCCTGCGCCCTCGGTGGAACTCCCTATGGGGTTACGAAATGCTGTCCCAGGTGGGGGAGACGCACGAGGACTGCGCCACTGGAACCTTCGGTGGAGCTCCCTATGGTGCCACGAAGCGCTGCACTGGGTGAGGGAGACGCAGGCGGCCTGCGCCCCTGGAACCTTCGGTGGAGTTCCCTGTGGGGCCACGAAACGCTGTCCTGGGTGGGGGAGACGCACGCGGGCTGTGCCACTGAAACCTTTGGTGGAACTCCCGATGGAGCCAGGGAACGCTGTACTGGGTGCGGGAGACGCAGGCGGCCTGCGCCCCTGGAACCTTCGGTGGAGCTCCTGAGACGCATGCGGGCTGCGCCACTGGGACCTGCGGTGGAGCTCCCTATGGGGCCACGAAACGCTGCACTGTGCGCGGGGGACGCCTGCGGACTGCGCCACTGGAACCTTTGGTGGAGCTCCCTATTGGGCCACGAAACGCTGCGCTGGGTGTGGGACTGCGCCACTGGGACATTAGGTGGAGCTCTCTCTCTCTCTCTTTCTCTTTCTTTCTCTGTATGGGGCCGCGAAACGCTGCGCTGGGTGTGGGAGACGCACGCGGGCTGCCCAACTCGGACCTTCGGTGGAGCTTTTGATGGGGGCACGAAACGCTGTGCTGGGCACTAGAAAGGAGGGAGGAGGGGGAGAGGGAGCAGAGGAGGGGAAGAGATAAGACGCGGATCGCCGTCTCTTCAAAACGAAGACCCTACACCACAGGATTGTTGGAACCAAACACATAAATCAAAAAAATGTCCGAGCGAAGGACCCGACCATATGAAGTTGAGAATACCGAAATTGTGAATCTATTCTTCGGTGGAGCTATCTACAGGGACACGAAGCGTTGCAGTGGGCGGGGGGAACGCATGCGGGCGGTAGCCCTGGGGCTGCCGGTGGAGCTCCGCATGGAGCGAAAAGCTACATTGGGCGAGGGCCAACGGATTTTTTCCCCAGCCCCCTGTCGGGCGACGAAACGCTGTACTGGGTGGGGGGGACGCATGCGGGCGGTAGCACTGGGGCCGTCGGTGGAGATCCCTTTTCGGGTCACGAAGCGCTGTACTGGGTGTGGCGGACGAATGCGGGCACCCCCAGTGGGGCTTTCGGTGGAGCTTTCTATGGGGCCACGAAGCGCTGTACTGTGTGTGGCGGACGCATGCGGGCACCCTTACTGGGGCCTTCGGTGGAGCTCCCAATGGGGCCACGAAACGCTGTACTGGATGGGGGGGACGCATGCGGGCACCCCTACTGAGGCCTTCATTGGAGCTGTCTATGGAGCCACAAAATGCTGTTCTGGGCGTGGGGGACGCATGCGGGTACCCCTACTGGGGCCTTCGGTGGAACTCCCTATGGAGCCACAAAACGCTGTACTGGGCGTGGGGGACGCACGCGGGCACCCCCACTGGGGCCTTCGGTGAAGCTCCCCAGGGGGCCACGGAACGTGCGACGGGCGTGCCAAAGTGAGGGGGGTGACGGGAGGAGGGAGGAGGGGGGGAGGAGGAGGAGAAGGAGGAGGAGGAGGAGGAGGAGGAGGAGGAGGAGGAGAAGGAGGAGGAGGAGGAGGAGGAGGAGGAGAGAAGAGAACGCGGGGTCGTCTCTTCAAAACGAGGCCCAACACCACAGGATGGTTGGGAACAGGCACACAAACAAAACAAAACAAGCAATAAACTAACAACAACAACAACAACAACAACAACAACAACAACAACAACAACAACAACAACAACAACAACAACAACAATCATTTAAGACTGGGGACACTCCGTTCTCACCAGTGCCAGGGTTTTCATAGGAGGCGGGCAATACCCCCACTTTGTGGGGGGGCCGGTTCAAGCTCTACCAAATTTCCAAACGACTCTTCGCCACCACCCACACCCAGCTTCCCGCCCTATGACGTTCGGACACTTCACTTCGTGGCCTGCGGGCGACCTTGGCTACTACACTGGCGCATGGGTACAGTGACTTGTTGTGGTAACATTTTGTGGAAGCTAGCTTAGTATACGACTTTTCCCCCTGTTCCAACACTGGACACCTGTACCGTTTGCCGACGTTTTTCCGTTTCTGTACCACACAAGCGAAGACACTTATTTTGAGTGGTACCACGTGCGTGGCGCCAGCATACCACAAGACTTGTTTCCGTTGTTGTGAGACGATACATGCTCATTCTTGTTCTGTGGTTGTCGTTCCGGCCTCAATGTGCAATACTGGCTCATTCGTCTACGAAATACACGTGACTAGCTCTCTCTGGTTGGAGGTCCTGATGGTTGTGGTTGTCCCGATGGTTGTCGCGATGATTGTCCCGATGATTGTCCCGATTGTTGTTCCGATGGTTCTCCCGATGGTTGTCCCGATGGTTGTCCCGATCGTTGTCCCGATGGTTGTCCCGATGGTTGTCCCGATGGTTGTCCTGATGGTTGTGGTTGTCCCGATCGTTGTCCCGATGGTTGTCCCCACATGGTCCCGCATGATATTTTTTGCAAGGGATTGTGGCCCCTGGCAGGCGCGCGAACGCCGTTGAAAGAGCTTGCGAAAACAGCTCGCGCGAGCTGTATAACATAAATGTTGAAAAACCATTGGTTTTTAAGGATTCGGACAGCGCGCGCGGGTAGAAATTTTGAAAATTCGTACAGATGTTTTTCGAGAACCTACGGTGCGATTCGTATGATTTTATGTTGCGCGGTGCTAATATTCCTAAGAAACCCAATGATTTTTGAAGATTTCGGCGTGCGCGCGCGAAGAAAAAACGAATGTGTCCCACATGGTATTATTTGACAGGGATGATGGCCCTGGCAGGCGCGCAACCTTTGTTGCAGAAGTTCGAAGCACGTGAAAAAGTTGCTCGCAAGAGCCCGTTTGACAGAAATGTTGAAAAAGTATTGGGTTTCCTAAGAAATCCGCAAGAGCGCGCGGGGTGAATTTTTGAAACCCTTTTTTTGAAAAACCATTGGGTTTTTTCATGTTTTTATGTGAAAATCGCTACGAAGACTAAGGTTTTGGAAGGATTTCGTCTTGCGCGCGCGAATGTGTACTTCGTGTCATTTTTTGCAAGGGATTCTTGAAGTTTGGTCATGTTAGAACAAGAAATGTCCACTTTGCCTTATTTTTTGCAAGGGAAAACCGATCGTAACAACACAACCGGATCTGGTATACCCCGTTTTGCCTGAGACTTCCTCACGAAAATGATGAAAATGTGGCTGCGGCCTAGGCGCGGCGGGGGGGGCGCGCACCAGGGGCCCCAACAATAATTATTCTTTAGAATTAATAATGTTCAACAACAACAACAACAACAACAACAACAACAACAACAACAACAACAACAACAGCAACAACAACAACAACAACAACAACAACCACAACCACAACCACAACCACAACAACAACAACAACAACAACAACAACGACGACGACGACGACGACGACGACGACGACGACTACGACAACAACAACAGCAACAACCACCACCACCACCACCACAACCACAACAACAACAGCAACAGCAACAGCAACAACAACAACAACGACAACGACAACGACAACGACAACGACAACGACAACGACAACAACAACAACAACAACAACAACAGCATCAACAACAATCATGTTGAGACTGTCCGCTTTTATCTGCTAGCGTATCATTCAATATGCAAATCCAAAACCCTGGATACCCGCTCTCTTCGTCTTCGTTCGTACCCCCCTTTGGGGGGTATATTCATTCCCTGTCACGTGTGGTTAGTGAAGCCCTTGAGCAGAAACGGGGCCACGAAGGGCAGACAGGTGGCCACGAAGGCCGACAGCGGGGCCACGAAGGGCATGCATATGGGGCCACGAC